GCACTATGTTTTGCAAGGAGGCCGTCATTGCTGAAACTAAAACTTAAACTGGAGCCATTGATGGAAATCGGGGGAAATTCCGGAAAAAATATGAAAATTGCCAAAAAAAATTTAGGGTCGGGGTATAAAATGGGAAGGTCGGGTAACCGGAACCGCACATATTTTTTTATTCGGCCTTATTGTTCAAAGTGGCAAATTTCTTTGTTGAACAACATCATGATACAGACGCTGACAATATGGTGTTTTCTATGTGTCCTTCTAGACTGTGATTGTAATATTAATAAACTGGACTGTGTTTTCTCATCAGTAGAGAGGATGCAAATTCCTTTATATCTTGCCTTCAGTCATGTATTGGTTTTGTAATAGTGTCCATTTCCAATCACTGAGTGCCAAGAGGTTATCTACATCGTGACTTTGAGTCTACCAGAAGAAACCTGAGTGTGGCCGCCACTAACAATGTAGAAAATGCATTGTGTGTGTAGTTTGTAAGAATACAACATTCCTCAGCATATATATTGGCATAAGATTCTCTTCATTAAGGTGGCAGGCAATAATTACACATACACATTATCATGTAATATATCTGTTAGCTACTCCATATTCCTCTAATGATCTTTGGCCATCTGTTTTCTATATTCAAGTAGCTTTTCAATTTCCCACAGTCCCATCTCATAGGTATTAATGTTTTATACTGATATATTATGAGGTTAAATATCTGATATTGATAACTTTTACCGGTATGTATGTGGTAAAATGTTATATCTAGATAGCATGAGAAACTTAATAATAGCTTATTAGTATATTATATTTTTGTACTGCTTGCTTTTCAAAGTACGGTTTAATTAAGACAGCCTATATTGCAACAAATTTCAGTATGACAAAACTTCAGTTATTTGTAAAATAAAACCATTTGAATATTTTTGGTACATCCTTTTTTTATTGCTACCTAGACTTTTTGCTGACTGAAAGATTGGAAGTGAATAAAGTATTGCCAAACAAAATGGCAGAGGTTGCTTAATTACTGATAGCATTGGAAGTTTTCATAGTGATATAAAATGTGTACTTATTTGTAAAAAATGTGGGGGGGGGGGGGGGCAGGACTGCAAGCCAAAGTTGTTTTTTATGCCTTGCCATGAATATGGCCATGGCATATCATGTCTGTGTTCCATCCTTCTGTCTGTTCGTCCATCACACTTTGTGTTTAGCTCAGTTTCAAAGAAACTATTCAAGATATGTTAACAAAAATGCATATGGTGAGAGAGCATTTCAACTGTGACATATTTTTCTGACCTTGACCTTCCCTCTGACCTTCATCTAACTTCCCTATTTTGTGTTTTGCTAATGTAATATATATATATATATATATATATATATATATATATATATATACATACACAGGGATTTATCAGCCTATTTTGGGAAATGCCATTTTTGGGGAATTGGGAAAAAATTATCGGCTATTTGATGAAATTGGGAAAAATGAAAAATCAACATTTCAGCATGAATTCTAATTTGGGCAATCAAACAGACAAATTATTGATCCAACTTCATCATACAAGATCAATTATCAGAATAATACACTTAAATAACACTAAATATGACTTCAGTGAGTATAAAGTATTTATACAACTTAGGGTAGTACATGTGTGTATGAGATTCCAATTTAGGTCATTAGAATTTATCTGTTACTGGAGATTATAAACCTCCTGCAAAAAAAATTATACTAAGTTCCATTTTATTATGTAAAAATGCATTGAAAATATATTTTTCTATCTAAAATAATGCCTACAGTTCTTACCATTCCCTCGTAGATCAATTGAGTAGGTGGAAATAACTTAATACATCTACGTAATAACACATCACCATTTTCAGAAAAACGGGGGAAATTCGGATTAAAAGTCAGAGATGTTTTACAGTGTTTTTTTAAAACGTGTTACGGCTGTAGCTTTGCTAAATGAGTTAATCAGAGGAAAACTACAGACAATCTGACAATTTTACTTAGTGTTTATTAAATATAAAAGCATTGTTTAGCAATTGGGAAAAAATACTGCAAAATTGGGAAAAATTTAACATATTTTCAATTGGGAATGGGGCCGAATTTCGGTCCCTGAGAGAGTACTGATAAATCCCTGATATATATATATATATATTTAACTATGTCATGATATTCTGACCTTGTCATTCATATGACCTTGACCTCTTAATTCTTTATTTTGCATTTATTTACTCTATTTCAAAGAGACAGTTACTGATATTTTCATCAAACTTTATAGAAAGGTACAAATTTATAAGAGCTATTCAGCTGTGTCATTACTTTGTGACCTTGACCTTCCCAGTGACCTTGACCTCACTGTTGCTTATTTTGTGTTAAGCTCAGTTTCAAAGCAATTATTAAAGATATTTTTATTACAACTCTAACACTGATACATATTAGTGGGAGCTAAACAACTTTGCTATAATTTTCTGATCTTGACCCTATGACCTTGATTCCATCATTTTCAATCAAATCTCTAATATATTGAGAAATTGTAGACTTTCTACGAGTTCAAAGTTCTTTCTTTTTGCCATCACCCTAATGAATCTACAATTTTTAATCACTTTATAGAATATTATTGAGAAATGAAACTTAATATGGCTAAACTTATTCATTTTACTTATAGAAACATAGATTTAGCTGTTATTTTCATGAATTTGAAAAAAAAATTGTTTGGAGCAGATGCCCTTCAAGGTGTAAGGACAGTCTGGGATAAGGGGTCTATCGAGTTTGTGCTTGATCACTACAAAATATACTTTGCAATCTTTTAAAATAACAATTTCTGTTGGTCATTCTTTCTATATTGATATATTTTTTTTCTTTTTTCCAATTTTAAAGCCATCATTTTTTTCTAGAAAGGAATTGATACATGCAAAGCACCACTGATTTGTTAGTTTTCTGCTGAGAAGCCAAAAAAACTAAATTAAAAAAACGAATACAGTTCAAACAGTATATATATTTCAGCATCTCACTCCCTAGACATCCTTTGGTTTTACAGAACTTTTGAACATGAAATGAAAACTATGTACACATGGCTCAACATGTTTTTTTTTTCTACAATTGATGAATTTTCACACATGTGCTTGAACTTCAGAACAGTTTCCTTGACTCTGATATGGATTTGAATTGACTGGTGGTAATTGATGAGGCTTTGGAATGAAGGAAAAGTCAAACTTTAGCATCAGGACAGGATTTATCAATGAAATGCCACTTAAATATGTCGAGATATCTAACAGATTGTAAAGAGTTTCAAGATTGACTGGCAGATGCACCTGGTGGGTTCCTGGAAGGAGATTTTTTTTTTTTTGGTATAAATAGGGATTGTTCAACCTTAGTGCTAAGAAAGATGCTTTTTGATAATAGAGTTTTTAAAAAAAATTAAGAAAATGTATTTAGCTGAACTTCGGCTTAAATCTGTTACTGCATATGAAACTGGAAATATTCTTAGACTATTGGTTCTATAAAATAGTGACTGATTACAGTATTTAAATGTTATTGGTTTTACATGTGTGGGTTTTTCCCTTTCATTCTGATTGTTTAGAAGGTTTTTTTCATTTTGCACAAGATTTATTCAAAAATGTCATTAAGGTTGAAGATGACCATGGGAGACAAATCTGTAGGGAACAGGGATGATAATTGTGTTGTTTTTCAGAGTCACACGGAAATCTCCCAGCAAGAACAAGAACCACTAACCGGGACAAATTTATTAGAGTTTTATAGCCTTCGCTAGGAACTTCATTAACTGAGGGATGAATTCTATAACCATCTATAACACATTTAAAATGATTTTTCTTTGCAGTAAGGTTATTGCAGATCAGTTTATCAGCAGTGAATCAATTTCATTCATTCTTTTTTTGATACCACAGAGAGCATTTGGACAAGATAAGGGAGAGTGATCAGTCTGTAAATCTTGAGATTTTTTTCTGCCAAATATTGTGAAAAGATGCTGGAAATTAATTAAATTTTGGGGAAATGTGTAAGATGCAGTAGGAGACTGGTTGTGTTTTGGTGGAGCTGTTAAGTTTTTGGTGTATCTGCAGACTACTATCACATTCTTTGATGATTTATGCAGTGCTGTAGGTCAATTTAGGATTCTCCTATTGTTATCTGCCCCTGCAGAGCATCATGTCCTACTGGGTCTGAAACCAAGAAAAAATGTCAAAAATTGATGTAGGCTTCCATCAGACTAAAATGTTTATTGTCTGGAATCAATTAGTTGTATCTACTGACACTAACCTATTGATAAAGACAGGAAATCAGTGAGTGCACAGTATTTTTTATTCCCTCTCCTGTGACGATACCTTGCTTATAAGAAATATTGGAATAAATCAAAATGTAAAGTCAATATAGGTTATTATTTTGTGTATTGAAATTCCCCTGTGTACTATACCAATAATTGTATTTCGAACAATTTCATCTCAAGGTCAAGCATATAAAAGTTTAGTGTCCATACTAGATGTATGTGTAGCAGTTTTGGTTCAAGGGTGCAGGTATATTAAAAAAATATATATTAAGCATTTTGATATACTGTAGATTCCTAAATATACGCGAGGAATAAATTATCGCGTAATTATGCGAGAAGCACCACTCGCGAAATAAAATTACTCGTTATTTTTGTGGTGCTTCAATGTATATAAAATCTCTAGATAAATCACTGATTCGCGAATTATTGTTCCCGCGATTTGACTCCCTTGGGCCATTTCGCGATATTAAGTACTCGCGTAAAATAAGGAATTTACAGTATATGCATGTATCATTAGAAAATCTCATGTATCGATTCCGTAGTCAGTTCATGTACATCTAGAATGAATGTTTAAGTTATTTTATCAACACACTGATCAACATGTTAAGGCCTGTTATCAAAAATGTACTGTCTAAATGTGTATAAAAAGCTATTAGTCATTTTTCAGGTGCTTTTTCTAGATGTGTTACCTTGCTTTAAAGCCATTCCCTTTTTTTGTTGTAGCTGATGTTTATGACGAGGTGTGCCCAGACATAGAGAGTAAAGGTTTGGACTGCGAGTGTGTAGGGGGAGGTCGAATAGAACACGACCCAGTCAAGAAAAAACTGCAGATTTACGGATATTCTCAGGTAGATATTTATACTTTTTATGCATTTATCAAAGTCTATGCCAAGTCATGATCACTAAATGTGTAGTCAAAGTTCCTTCAAGCTGTAACAAATACTGGTAAAACTTATTTTAAGGTCAGACACAACATACCTTACAACCTACCTTACCCATTGATAAGTTTTCAAGATATTCCTAATCATAATCATAGTACCAAAACTACCATTAGATTTTTTTAGACCAAAAATCAGCATACATTGCTGAGGTTTTTGAATAGATATCAGATGATAAAAATCCTTGTGTTGTTAAAAGAAAAATATACAAAAATTACCAAACTGGTATTTCCTGGAAATTTCTTTTAGAAGAGGCGTACAGCATCATTAGGCATTGTAAAAGTCACACAAAGGTCCTTCAATTATTGAAAATCTTCAATTATACAGGAAATAGGAAAATAAAGTCAAAACAAAATTTCCTTAATGATCCTTCATAAATGCACACACAAAATCAATCCTGCTCATTGCTTTGCATTCTGTCAGACTGCATTGACTACAAGAGGAAGGTGTTGTAGTTGTCAAAAATTAACTTCTTTAAAAATTGTGTTATTATGCCCCCCTTCGGAGAAGGGAGAGCATATTGCTCTGCTTTGCTGCTGTTGGTCGGTCGGTCAGTCTGTCTGTTGGTCCACCAACAGTTTCCATTCAATTTCTTTGCAGAGGTTTCACATACTGAAATGAAATTTGATATACAGATTTATCATAAGAGACTCTAGGTCAGGTTCTGTTTTGGGTACAATCGAGCAATTTGTGACAGAGTTATGCCCCTTGGACTTAGAAAAATTCCAATTATTTCCACTTTCCATTCATTATCTCTGCAAAGGTTGAACAAATTAATTACTGATATATCATGAGAAACATGCTTTTGCCAAAGATGTGATGTAGAAGACTATTTCTGGTTGATGCAACTCAGATAGTACCAGTAGATGACCCCTATTGATTTTAAGTTCAAAAGGTCAATTTCATTTCCATGTACACTTCCCATAATGTATACTGCCCATAATAAAGGCTTGTGCACCCTATAATGTATGTCGGGGGGGGGGGGGGGGGGGGGGGTAAGTGTTTCACAAACATCTCTTGTTTACTTTCATACCTCTATAGTATATAACTCTCAAGAAACTCGTAATGGTTGAAAGTCAATTTTATTCAGAAAACACAGCAATGACATAGCAGAGCAGAGCTGTATGCTGTATGGAAATACAAAGGGTTTTAAATTCTTGCTCTGTAATGTCTTAAATATACACATGTTGAGGCTTTTAAACATGTAGATTTTCAAATTGTACTAGGTGTGTCACCATTTGTTTATTGTAAATTAATTGATTATGTATAGTCCACTACTGACTATAAATCTATTTCCATTTTAATGTTTTCTCACATAAATTCTCTCCTAATATTGAAATTTCTTTGAACATTGAGACACCCTTCAAATGAAAGCTCATCAAATTCTCTATCATGGGCTAAAATCTCAATGTGGCATGTCAGATTCATATTCCTGCAAAATGCACTTGTTCGCAAAAACATCTGAAAAAAGGAGTAAAAATAGGGGTTATTTCAGGGTAAGCATTCATTTAACAATTCAGTTTCTTTCCTTTCAAATATGTTTCAAAGACTGAAAATGTTTTTTAAAAGGAATTTTCTTTATTATTTTAAGTATCTTGAGTTTAGGTGACCCCTGACTTTATGTACTGTTTGCATATTAAGGAGCCGTCTCATTTTAGTGAGCTTTATTCTTCCTATTTTAAAAGTACAGTTGAACTTCGGTATCTCGAACACGGATATCTCAAAAACCATTGATATGTCAAAGTCATTTTGATGTCCCATCTGCTTATTAGTTCCCTACTGGTGAAACCGGAGGGGACTATAGGTTTCCTCCGAGTCTGTCCATCTGTCCATCCATCTGTCTGTCTAGCTGTCCGTCAGTCTGTCCCTCTGTCTGTCTGTCAGTCTGTCTCACTTGGTTTTCCGCATTTTTTTCTAAACGCTTGCAGATATTGAGCTGAATCTTGATTAGTTACAGATCAAGTTTGCATTTCGTTCCGCTTTAATGATTTTTGACGGAAATAGGACCTTTTCAATTTTTAAGGGTTTTCCGCAATTATTTTTTAAACGCTTGCAGATATTGAGCTGATTTTTGGTATGTGACTTTACCTTGATGAGTTAAAGATCAAGTTTGCATTTCGTTCCTCTTCAGTGATTTATGGCGGAATTATGGCATTTTCAATTTTTAACGGGAACCAGATTACACTTGCCGGTAGGGGACTAGTATTGCTAATGCAATACTCTCAGAATGCTTGTTCCTTAAGTATTTTACCCTGAATATCTCGAATTCTCAGTTATCTCGGAAGTATTTTCTTGGTCCCTTCGAGTTTGAGATAATGAGGTTTGACTGTAATATAAGGGGATGTACCCTTAGTACATGATGATACTTAATAAGTATCGTACTGCAGATGCTTCATCTGTCTTGTATTTTCAGAATAAGTGGCCAAATTAAAGTTTACAATGTAGGTCCTTTTTTCAAGTCAATAAGTCCTACCTGTACCAAACATGCATGAACATATATCATACATTAACATAGGATACATCTGACCTAAATCTTCCAAATAAAGGCTCAGGTTCATGTTGGACAAAATATCTCTGAGTAACTAGGGCCTGCCTACCAAATTTGCATGGATGTACCTTTTTTTGTAATTGAGGCCAGATTTATGCTTTTGGAAAAATTTCCATAGCCAAATAACTAAGGCCTACTGTACCAAACTTGTGTGGATGATGCATCTAGGTATACAGACTACCTAACATGGTTTGGGTGCTGTGTCTCATTTACATAATAATCCAGACGAATGTCCAGAGTAAAGGTTTTGGAGCAGATCCATTTCCAAGTAACTGCAAGCAACTGTAGACAATTTTTTGAGCATGATGCATCTTTGGGGTGTAGACTAGCAATCTTGCTTAGAAGCTGTATTTTTCAGATATGTAACTTAATTGAACAAAGTAAGAATGAAATTCGTACAAAATTTTAATGTATTAATAGATTTACTGAGTTGCTGAGATAAAGATATAGCAAAGAAAATTACATAGTAATCATGTCCATTTGTTATTACTGGTATTTTTTCTGAAAAGAATTTTTGTTAATTTAACTGTCATTTTGAATGAATTTTTCTTCTTTTTTAGGGATTTGGTCAAGCTGATCATGCCATTACAGCCGCTATACTTAGCAGAAAATATAAATATGAAAATATTACATTTTCCAATGAAGGATACTAGCAAAGGGCACAATTAGGATGTAAAGACTCAATATTTAATGGAAATATTTGCAGATTTGATGCATTTTTTGTCAGCTGGTCTGAAAACTTCCATTGGAATGGAGAGATGAAGGAATCATTTTCCAGCAAGAGAGAGATGATCTCCTTCTCTCCTTTATCTGTTTATAAAATGGGACTCTTGTGTATTGTAGTAAACATTTTAAGGCTATGTTTCTTGTTGATTTGAAAGTATTTAATGTGTGAACTTTGGAATTAGTCAAATATTGTTTCTTTTTATCAAATTATGTATTGTATATGTGTTTATATGTATTTAAGATGAAAACTCCACTTCATTTTGCGAAAAGCATCATAATTCTTATCTTCCTAGATTTTCATATCAAAAAATTTTGCAGACAAAATATACAAGAGTAAGTAAACTGTAGTAAAAATAAAATGAAAAAAAAAATATTTTTTTCCAAGTCAAAAATCAGCATTCCATTTCTTTATTGGAAAAAAAAAACAATTATGAACGAAAAGCATAAACTTCAACCATTGAGACTGACCTGGTAATTTCCCTCTCTATACAGACAGTGTGTGTGTATGTCATCTGCTTTTTTATAGGCCAAAATCCACTTTCAGTTCTGTTTTAATGTGTTTAGTTGATATTAATTTTTTGTTTTTTGTTCCCCTTGTTGTAATTCATGCATTTACTTTTGTATCAACGTTGTACTCTAACCATGCAGACACATGTACTTATACTGCTATCACTACTTGGAAACAAATTGCCTGTTTAAATTTCATCATTTCTCACAAAAAATTATCTTTTCAGATAAACGAAGCACAGATTCTACTTCTCTTAACTCACATATTAGTTTCGTTTCATTGACCATTACTCATACTAGCCAAATCTTAAAAGTGCAGTTTTCAGCAATAAAATGTTTTTTTTCCCATCACAACTATCTAGAACTTTTTCTTTATTCTTGCTTTTTATTCTTGAATTGTAATAAGCAGTTGAATAATAAATAAAATGCATTATGAGAAAATTATATGAAATATTACAAGCAGTATTAAAACTTTCAAAGGTTTGCATTCACATGTACTTTTATCGTGCATCATTATTGACCATTTTTCATACTTGAATCATCAGGCATGTTTTTAAATCATGTTTTATTCACTATCTCCTAAGAGATATTTAAGTTGGACATTAAAGTTTAGTTCAAGGAGGAACAAAATTGTGTGTTTTTCTCTGTAATTATCAGTTATATTCTGTGTTATTGATATTAAATGGTTGTTCACAGTGTTCCCTTAATGATTTTGTTTTTTGGCTTAATTTGATGTTAAGACTTTAGGCAAATACTGTTGATGCTTTTGTAAACTTTTAGCTGCTGTGATTCAAAAATAAAAAAAAAAAGATTGAAAAATTTCTAACTATTTACAGATTTTCTTTACAATAAATATAATGGAAGTGATAATAACTTACTACAGTAAAACACGCTTATAGCAAACATGCTTATAATGAAGTGACGCTTATGGCAAAGTGATTTTCATTCCCTGTGGCTTTAAAATATATTGTTAACTTAACAGATGAAACAAATTACATTTATAACGAAGCAGAATCGTCTGTCCTTGGCATTTTGTTATAAGCATGTTTTACTGTACTAGGTCGTGCACATTGAATCACCCATAGGCTCAATCTTCACAAAACCAAAGGTACCTGGCAGTCTTAGATACACAATTCTAGCTTTGGCTAGCAGATGAACCTTAAAGCTTGATGGCAGAGCACTGAACTGTTGGGACTCTGTCTTCTCAAACACAGGATCAGCTGATGAATTTCATACAAAAATGGCAAATGTAGTATAAAGACTTCAATTGGCTTTGTTGCAGAGCATTCAGTTTGTAGAAAAAGACAACCTATGGCACAAATGCTTGAACTGCTGGAGTGATGCTTAATTTTAACCATAAACATGTACCAGTAAGTTTTAGCTGTACCAGTTGAAGAGCTTCTGGGAAGGTAAGATGTCTGTTTTAGCCCCTACAGTTTTGGAGGATTTGATAAAACTTGATATCAAGAAAACCACACAAAGATACAAATTGTTTTTTACCAGTTTTGGATTTCAACAAATGGTGTTGCTATGATTACTACAATAAGGATTTTCCATGAAATTCTTTCAAAATGCTACACCTCTTACAGTTTTGGTCTGATTTCAGTAAAACTTTGATACACAAGGTAGAAATACTAAATACAAAGAAATTTTCGCTCCTATTTTATTCTCGCACTACTCACAGGTGGGTGAGTTTAAACCAGGGCGAATTCAAAGAACACAGTAAAGTTCTTAAACAGAAGGAATTTAAAACGGGGCTTTTTATGACTTCAATGCTGATTGGTTGAATGTATCTTGTAATTCAAAATAGTGAAAGAAAAAGTTGGGGTTAAAAATAATGTAAGTTTTATCTTGACTTCCTAAATATATCTTCATTTTTTGGCAAAGTCTGTTGAGTAAATGTGTAAAATTTGTTCTAAAGATATTAATTGAAACCTATGTTCATAGCATATAATAATGAAAACAAGAGGCCCATGGTCCACAACGCTCACCTGATTAATTTCGGCTCTGCTGTTCTTAACCAGATTTTCCCCCTTGTAATACGTATTGTGGACCAACCATACCACGGGGATCATGATTTGAACAATTTAGAATCTACACTACCTCAGAAAGCTTCCACATAAGTCAGCTTTTCTGGCCAAGTGGTTCTTGAGAAGAAGATTTTTAAAAGATTTTTTCCTATATATTTCAGTGCAAAACTTGGATTCCCTATTGTGGCCCCACCCTACCCCCAGGGGTCATGATTTGAACAATTCAGGAAGAAGATTTTTAAAGATTTTTTCTATATATTTCAATATACAACTTGGATTCTTTATTATGGCCCCACCCTACCCTGGGGATCATGATTTGAACAATTTAAAATCTACACTTTCCAAGGATGCTTCCACATAAGTTTCAGCTTTTCTGGCCTAGTGTTTCTTGAGAAGAAGATTTTTAAAGATTTTTCCTATATATTTCAATGTAAAACTTAAGATTCCCTATTGTGGCCCCACCCTACCCCTGGGGGTCATGATTTGAACAATTTTGAATCTACACTACCCCAGCATGTATCCATATAAGAATTACAATATAAGCATATGTATTCCATATAAGTTTCAGCTTTTCTGGCCCAGTCGTTCTTGAGAAGATTTTTTAATGACCCCACCCTATTTTTGTCTTTTCTTGATTATCTCCCCTTGTAAGGGGGTTATGCCCTTCATTTTAATAATTTAAACTCCCTTTTACTCAAGGATGCTTTGTGCCAACTTTGGTTAAAATTGGCCCAGTGATTCTTGAGGAGAAGGTGAGCTAACAATTCTCTGAGTAAAAATATGTCGGGCTTTTAAAAGTTCCAAGAAATTAAATCAAACAAATGTGTAGATTTGAAGAATTTTCTTCTAAATATCCTTCCACCACAAAAAATAGTCCCCCATAATAAACTTTGTTTCTTTACAATTTTGTGAGCAGCAAAGTGATTTCAATGATACAAGGAAGACAAGTAAACTAAACTATTGACAAAAACAAAATGAATACTGGTATGTGAAAATAATTTAAAATGCACTTTTAAGTTTCGATTTGATTTCAACAAGTGCTACTTTTCTTTCTTTATTATAAGAGTTAACCAGTTGAGCTAAAATCTCATCAGAGAGACTTCTGGTTTACTATTTAGATCTTGATATATTAACCTTCAAACAAAGTAAAGGAAAGGGTTACTCAGTTTTCTGCTCTGTAAATTTCAGCAACAACAAAAAAAAATATAAAAAATTGTAAGGCCTAACCATATATTTCCCATTCATAAATGATTTTTCTTTAAAGTGTGTAACATTTTTTTATTTCGAAACCAAAACATAACTAGCAAATTGACCAAAGTATGCATGCATAATGTAAACACAATATGCCCATGTTTATAGTATTTGACACATATATTATCTCACACAAAATACATCCTGCTAAACAGGTCAAACTAATTAGTCTTGATGAATTCCTGAGTATAATACAATGTATTAGGAAAGAATGTCTTTTTTTCATGTTAACAAAGCTTTAACTGTGGGATAAGAAATGTAGTGAACAATTTAGTTTTTAATAAATAGCATAATAGGCCTGAAGAAATGATTATGCAGATTCATACAGAATTTGCATAAAAACTATCACTAGAAAATGTATGTGAATCGCTTAAAAAATGTCACAATGTGAGACTATTTGAGTATGTCAGCCATCCATGATTTCTTCACACTAAAACGTTTTTAAATAATTGGAACTTTACAACTAAGATTTATTTGTTTCCTTTGTTGGTGTATACAGACACTATTGGATGTCTTTTGACTGATTATTTCTGTTCGCTTTCTGGGACAACCTGAGTCACGTTGATACTGGGGGCTGTTCCCTGCATCTCGATGCTTTCTGAAACTTGTATTTGTTCTACTTGACCATCACCCATTGCAGATGGCAAAAAAGCAAAAACAACCGGAGGTTCACCATCTCCATTTGTTGAAGGTACGGTCTGGATATGCATGTCTGTTATAGCCACTAAAGGCAGAGTTCCTTCTTGTAGTGGCAAAGAAGTTGCTATTGTAGATCCATCATTCACTGCCAGGGTAGATCCACCACCTGTTGAAGATATCTGTCCACTAATGCTATTTATAGATTGAACTATGGGGAATGGGTGGGAAATTGAGACGGTGTTATCCCCATTATTGCTGGGAACACTGCCATTTGCAATGGAGGAGGAGATGTTGCTGATCAGTGCTACTGGTACAACAGCATCCCCTAGTAGCTGGAAGCTGTTGTTTTTGACGTCTTGTGATTTTTTTTCACTATTTCCTTGTTTTTTCTTTCTTACAAGCCTTTTCAGTTGTTTTGGGGCAGAAACCTCATGTGACTCGGACAGTTGCGGCAAACTTCTTTTCACTGCCATTCGTTGACTCTTCCGTGTACTTGTGGTGGTGACAATTCTCTTTGTCTTCTTCTGTGGTTGAAACTCTAGCAGAAAAAAGTAGTGTAACTGATAATTTATGTACACTCTAATATATGATCAAAACTAATACATGTAACTGCTAAAATGCTAGTGCACTAATTAAGGATTGTGCTAATCAGTTTGAAGTGGATGATTGCACTTATTTTTGAGTGTGTTAATGTATTTATGCTTACAGTTATTAATACTTTATATTAATTTTTTTGTTATCATATATTATTTATATTATTATTAATTTTATCTCACCCACTTATGTGTGGTACCTTTATCAAGGTAGTACTTGTAATTATGAACCTGTATCCCCCCCCCCCCCCCCCACTCCTGCTGCTAACTTATGTGTGTTATCTACAGAAAGGTAGTAATTGTGAATCTGTATATGAATTACGCATGTGATCATGAATCTGTATATGAATTATGCATCTGTGATCATTCACCTGACTGCCGAGATGCATAAATTTTGCAACACCCGCTTGGATGTGTTTATATTTCCAATACATATGTAATTAAAATTTAGATTGATAAATCTGTCTTAAAATGACCAATCATACTATTGTAGCAATGTGCAACAAACCATGTGCCAGAACTCGTCAATTTAATTATAAATTTATATGGTTCAGTGTCACATAATCACTAAAAAAAATTTTTTAAAAAAGGTAATTATTTTCTCTGGGCTAGTAGACCTTTGGCAGGGTTAATTAACAACTTTTACTAGCAGTCAAGCCCTGCATGTCTAGCTAATTTTACGGTGAGTTTCAAACACTGATGTGATACTGGTTTACATAAACCCAAAAATTTCTTGCAAATGCTTTTCATCCAAAAAATAGTAGACTAAGTCACACATGAGACAGAAGGTAGACATTTCTTTTACAATTCCTATTTACCTCCCCTTTGCTTCTTTTCCAATGTTTCCTGCAGTTTTTTCAGCCTGGCTTCTCTCTTAATTTTCTTAATTTCTCTGTCCATAACGACTCTCCTCCAGGTATATTTACTTTTCACACAGGGATATGATTTCTTCCTATATTAACATACAGTAGAGAGAAATAGTCTAACCCCTGATTTTTCAGACTTCACTTGGTTGGACTAACTAAATATTCAACAAAATAAATGTTGGAACCATAAGCAACAATATTTTTGGTACAATTTTTTTAAGGTACCTAATAAATTTATGATATGAAGGACTTGGTGTATAAAATAAGAGATTACCATTTTATGTATACATTTAATACAAGTAGATGTATATATATATCAAACTTACGTGACTTTTTTCCTCCTGACTGGTTCCTTACTCAACTCACTTTTGTCTACAACAGTGTACGGTGTACCCTTTTTCGTTATGACCTTTGGATACACATTTTTCTTCTTTGTGTTTTGTACACTAGTTGGTTTATTCTGTGCTGGATTTTCTACATTTTCAGGACAAACTGTGGACAACAGAGCAGGCCAGGCAAACAGAGCTTCGAATCTCTTCTGTAACATTTTATACTCCTTGCTTCTCCTCACTCTTGCCAAAGCATCCTTATGAACATTAGTTTTGTTACATTTTTTCAGTAGGTTTGCTGCTACATCACTGACTATAGAATTGTCAGTAGCATGCAGTGTTTCACTTAATGTTCCAGCTCTATATTCACTCTCACTAATATCTTCTTCGACTTTTACTCCAGACTGTTTGGCCAGTTCCACTGTTATTCTCTTCTGGAGTTCTTCACCTCGAATCTTGTAAAACTGTCGGCTGTACACTTCATCAGCTTTTTTCATCAAATATTTCCTGTGTAATAGCAGGCTTTTGAAAGCACTTGTTGTGACAGTTCCAGGAGGCAAGATCTTGACCCTGTTGGGGTCCTGTATTCCACTAGGAGGCCTGATCACCACAACACTTTGTTTCTGAGTCTGAGACCCCCCTGCTACTGTTGTACTACTGGTGGCTTCCCTCGCAGCTGTGGTCTGGGTCTGGGGTAGATTCTGTGAGCCTTGGACACTGTGTCCTGTAAGTTGATTCTGTGAGCCTTGGACACTGTGTCCTGTAGGTTGATTCTGTTGTGAGCCTTGGACACTATGTCCTGTAGGTTGATTCTGTGAGCCTTGGACACTGCGTCCTGTAGGTTGATTCTGTGAGCCTTGGACACTGTGTCCTGTAGGTGAAGACATAGATGCTTTATGAGCTGCTAAAATGTCTTGTATTTTGTCACCTGGTTTTAGTTTGACACCAGGGGGAAGTTTAATGACTCTAGCTCCAGCTGGAATAGCAGAGGGCTTGGTTGCTAATGTAGGTCTCTGTTCTGTGCTTATTGTGGCCTGCTTTATGTTTGATGTTGTTCCTGGGGCTCCACCTGTGACAGAATTATTCACTGTCTGTGATTTAGTGGGATCTTTTGCACTGTTACTGCCATCACTTGCGTTTTCAGCAGTGTCCTTGTTTATATTAGAAAGAGATGAGGTTTCTTTGGATTTCTTTTGTTTAATCTGTTCTTCCTCATTATTACTTCCTTCTGCCTTCCTCTTCCTTCCGTTACCTGACAAAGTTTTATCCTGTTGACGTATAACATTATATTGACTAGTTACACAAGATTGTACATTCTGATCTAAGTCTGGTCGCTTGTTTTGTGCATATGCTAAATTCTGCCCCACGGATGTTGGAGTTTCCTGACTTTGTGAATTCTGCCCTGTGGATGTTGATGGAGTTTTCTGACTTTGTGAATCCTGCCCTGTGGATGTTGATGGAGTTTTATGACTTTGTGAATTCTGCTCTGCGGATGTTGATGGAATATTCCGACTTTCAGATGAGGATGATCTTGCTGTAGACAGACTTGTGGTCCTGGGAGGTCCTGTTTTAGTTAGTGTTGATATAGTAGATACATTCTGGATATTTGTATTAGTGATTCGTTTCTCAGCTGTATTAGTCGGTAATATGCTGGGAGTGACCCTTTTCAAGAAAGCAATATCTTCCTTCACTGTGGGATCATTCATGTCCATCTGCTTGCTCTTCATCAAAGCTTTTTCGTAATCAAGATCTAAAGCCTGCAAGAAATATAAAGTTTTGAAACTAATTGGAAATACTGCCAACTTTACTGATGAGACAAGTCCTATGATACATTTCTTCTCAAATTAGCAGTACCTGCATGAATATCAATAATGGTAAAATACATAAGAAATTAAATTTATTTTAATATACCATTATTCACATTCGTATGAATATGGTAAATGTGGTTTTTGAATTACTTCTGATTGCACAAACTTTCTGTGAGTCTGGGTGTGCCGTTTACACATATACAGGTGACTCTTGACGGTTCGAGCTACGATCTCTAGAAGTTCTTGATCTCTTAAAGTTTAATCCTGGTCCCTTTTTTTCTCTCTAATACACGTATCTAATCAAATTTATTCCCAATCTCTCAAATTTCTCTATCTCTCAAACCAAGACCTGGGTCCCCTTACACAGACTTCATCGGTTTTTACTCTTGATCTCTTGAATTTTATTTAGTACATTAAAAAAATTCTCATAAATTATTTTATTTCTGTTTCTACACAATCACTGTAATGCAACCATTTCACAAAATTCAAAACTCAATAACTGAATAGAGATACCAAGCAATTGGTTGTAGGACCTAGTGAACTAGGGGGAGATTGAGTGTGCTTTTTGTGCTATTTGCACCAAATACCATCTGAGCGTAGTAATGAAATTAAAACAAATAAATACTTAAACTGAAAGTTTTTTTATTTAATATCTTAAACTATCTTTGTTGTTTGAAATCAAGTGAATTACCAGTAAATACGAAAGAGTTTTCAACATGAATATTTCCGGTAAACATGACAATAGAACTATAATGATCAAACCTGAAAATTACAATTTTCTTTCCCCTTTCGATCTCTTAAACCTCTCTATCTCTCGAACTTTAGAGAACTTTGAGAGATCTAGAGTCACCTGTACATTCATTCATATACAGACAAGTTCTTATCTGCATCATTATCCATGTGCCTCTCATCTTCAGAAATAGAGTCGGCATATTATATGTCTAACATATTCTCTGTGTGTCCAAAAAGTGCCAGTGTGATATCTGTCTGAGATATTGCCTATGTGCTTAATAAAGTCAGTGTGATATCTGTCTGAGATATTGCCTATGTGCTTAATAAAGCCAGTGTAATATCTGGATGAGATATTGCCTATGTGCTTAATAAAGCCAGTGTGATATCTGGATGAGATATTGCCTATGTGCTTAATAAAGTCAGTGTGATATCTTTCTGTGATTGTGTCTAAATGTCTAAAAAGTGTCAGTGTGATATCTATCTGAAATATTGCCTTTGTGCCTACAGATTGTCAGTGACATATCTGTCCAAGTCAGTCTGTGCATCTCAATAAATCTCAGTTTGATATACGTCTGAGATACTGTCTGTGTGTCTAAGAAGTGTCAGTGTGATATCTGTCTCAGATTATTATTTTGTGGCTAAAAATTGTCAGTGTGATATTGTCTCTGTGTCTAGCAAGGTCAGAATGATATCTGTCTACATTATTGTCTGTGTGTCTTAATATTGTCAGTGATATCTGTCTGAGGCATTCTTTGTTTCTAAACAGTTTCAGTGAGATATCTGTCTGAAACATTGCCTGCCTGTCTGAACAATGTATGAACAATGTTAGTGTGATATCTGTCCGAGATATTGTCTGCATGTCTAATAAGAATCTTTGTGATATCTGTCTGAGATGTTGTGTCTAGAGTGTCAATATGACACCTGTCTGCAATATTGTCCAAGTGCCTAAACAAAGTCAGTGTGATATCTGTCTGAGATATTTTTTATTTGCCTTAAGAAAGTTACTGGAAAATCTGAGATATTGTCTGTGTGTCTAAAAAAGTGTCAGTTCCTAAACAAACTTTGTGATATATCTGTCAGTTTAATATCTACCTAAGAATTTGTTCTGAAAGTCTGAGCCAAGACTTCATACATAGCTAGTGTTAGATACATCTACCTGTATGCCAAGTTTTTAAGTGTAACTCGCATTCATTAACAGCATCAGTGTGATATCTGTGTGTGATTTATATATCTCACACTTACATTCATTAACACAGTCAGTGTGATATCTGTGTGTGAGTTTGTATATCTCATATTCATTAACAGAGTCAGTGTGATATCTGTGTATGAGTCTGTTTATCTCACACTTACATTCATTAACAGTGTCAGTGTGATATCTGTGAGTTTGTATATTTCACACTTACATTCATTAACAGAGTCAGTGTGATATCTGTGTGTGAGTTTGTATATATCACACTTACATTCATTAACAGCATCAGTGTGATATCTGTGAGTTTGTATATATCACACTTACATTCATTAACAGTGTCAGTGTGATATCTGTGAGTTTGTATATATCACACTTACATTCATTAACAGAGTTAGTGTGATATCTGTTATCTTTTCTACATTTTCCTCCTCATCATCTTCAGCAACAGGAGGCTTCCTTCCTGTAGGACTGACTGTCAAAAAATAATGGGATATATGAAAAGGAGTATATATATACATTTATAAATCACAGTTTTACTTAAGATGCATATAAATAATATCTTAATATCTTACACAAGTAAAATTTCCTTGGTCGTCCAATTCTTTTCTCCACAAGGAGGGAATGGAAGCATTTCCAGATGAGGACGTCTTTTATTTGTTCGTCATACAGTATATCCTGTTCCCATCTCTTGGCTCGCGCTTCTCGACAGTTCTCTGCCCTTGTTATTTTCCTGGTCAGGTTAAGCATGTCCCTGACAGTGATTTGGTTGGGCTGGTTTGACATCATGTTCTGCACTGCCTTCTGCTGGTCTTTACTCTGTTCACATCCCATAATATAAAGAACCAAAAATGTCAAAAGTGTAAATATTGTCCCATCAAAGTCATATTTTGAATTTTTTTTTCAAATCTATAATATATTAACTAGAAATATGTCCATAGTACATGAATGCCCCACCCAGGATTCATGAGCAATGCAACATGAACAGACCTGCCTACCCTTTTTAGTGCAGAGGTTTAAACTAAATCCTCACTTTGGTGGAATTTCAAAGACAAAGGTGAAATTCTTGTACAGTGAAACTTGTCTAATCCGGATGTTGTGTAATCCAAAATCTTGCCTAATATGATGTAAACTTTTAGTCCTTTTTGGTTAATTTAATTGTTGAAAATGTTCTCAAATCTGGAATGTTGTCTAATCCGGCCAATTTTTACCAGTGGTGTCCAGATTAGACAAGTTTTACTGCACTATTCATTTCTGTTGTCTCACTGCCACTCTATTTAATGTAAATCAAACTCTACCTTATATATTATATCAAGGATGTAATTTACATTATTTTCAAATCATTTACTACATTATTTCTATTTTCTGTAAAAAAAAAAAAAAAAGTCCACATCCCTACATACCAAAATGTCTAAAGTAATAATAACGCTACTCTTAATGCCATATTTGATCAGTATCTTGCATATCACAACTAATTCAATCTTTCTGTGTTAATAAAAAATATGAAAAACTTCAAATAACACACTTTTTAGGCATGAAATTTCAAAAGCACAAAATTGGAATCCCACTTCGGGACCTCGAAACCAGTCCTTCGGATGAGACCGTATAAACTGAGGTCCCGTGTTGCAGTGAGTGCTGGCATGAAAAAGATCCCTTACTGCTCAATGGTCCTAAGTCCCGAGTATAGGTCTAAATTTGCTGACCACCACCAGCAAGTGATAGTGTCTCCATATTAGTGAAAAATTCTCGAGATGCAGTTGAATAGCTCTTATCAAAATGTATCAGCATGTGAAATTTGATTAAAATATTTGATTAGTTTCTTTTAAACTGAACTAAACACAAAAATTAAGAAAAGTGAGATCAAGGTCACAGAAAAGGTCAAGGTCAAAAATACTGATGCAGTTGAATAGCTCTCATCTACATGTATATGTTTCAGCATATGAAGTTTGATAAAAATATTTTGAATAGTTTCTTTGAAACTGAGCTAAAGACAAGGTTAGGAAAAAGAAGTCAAGGTCAAAGGAAAGGTAAAGGTAAAAAAAAATGTTGATGTATTTGAATAGCTCTCATCAATAAGTATAAGCATATGAAGTTTCATAAAAATATCTTGAATAGTTTCTTTAAAACTAAGCTAATCAAAAAGTGTGACAGACAGTTGGAAGGACAGAAGACAGACATGACAAACACTATATGTCATGGCCATAATATTGGTGGGGCATAAAAATGAGGTTGAAATTTGTAACACTGGTTTGAAAAAAGAAAAAAAAAATTCTACCTTTAAATACCTATAAAAAAGCTTCAACATACAGTAGTCTATTAATCCAAAATAATATCACAATTTTCTTTACAAAAGAGTATTAGGTAAAGTACTTGGTTTGAATATCATTTGAACCAAAAGAGATAAATATCAATGAAATGACAATAAGAAGCCTTGTCTTGAAGGTTATTACCAGAGCACCAAACGAATTGAATTCCTTAATGGCAGTGCCATTAGGTGGGACAACTGAGTTGAGGTTCTGCAGGTGCTGGTTTACTAGGGTGTGTAACTGCTTCTTCCTTTCCCAGACTGCTTTAAAACACCGTGTGTTATTTTTGGTCATCACTGGAGGACGGGGAACCACTAAATCACCTACACAAGAGAGTGTATTGTTTATGTCATTGTTGTACCATTTTCTGCTCTGCCTCTGCAGGCTGGCAAGTTTTAGGACAACAATAGGTTAAAAAATTTCAGGAATTTTAACAACTCAATCATTGTCAAACAGATAGCAGGTCATTATGCAATTATGAGATGAAATGATCTCCCTATTTCAGGGTAGAAATACCCATTTCATATTTTTCTCTACAAATCTTTTCCTTCAAATTCTAGAATTATTATTCAATTAACTCTATATTTTTATGCAAATTTAATGCCCACAGAAGATCAGCAGCATTCAGAAATTACTTGCAGGCAAACATTTAAAATCAAATAAAATCTGAATCTCTACAATGAAAATAGCTATCCCAAGCAGTCCAAAACATAATATCAACCCTTTCAAAAGTTTGCAGGAAAAAGTAATCCGTCTTGCCAATATATTCTTAAAGTTAAAAATTCTTCCCTGTACTTCATTTCCCATAAAATGATGAACATAACTGAAACTGATGAAAACAAGAGGCCCATGGCCACGTCACTTACCTGAGCACATTTGCTTGGGAAAAGGCAGAAATCGGTTCAGTATTGAAAAGTTTTAATATAAAGTGGTGTCAGGGGAGGGGGTGATTTGAACAAACCTGAATCTACACTACCAGAGCATGCTTCCATATTTCTTTGACTAATCAGAACTTTAGTATATCAAGTTTTTCCTATACATTTAATCTTCTGTTGTGGACTTGCCCTAACCCTGGGGACATGATCTGAACACACTTGAATCTACACTATCTGAGGATGCTTCTGAATTACAGGTAAACTTCGATATCTCGAACTTGATGGGACTGAGGAAAAACTTCGAGATATCCAAGTGTTCGAGATATCGAAGTTGATGAATTTGTTACCAATATTGCACTGTTTCATGTTCTATTAACAGGGAATTCCCCCCCCCCCCCCCACCAACGTGCAACAGTAAAGGTTTCAGTTCGTACTTAGTAATTATCTTTTTAAAAATACATATACACTTATATAATGCATATATTATTTTATTTAATACTGCAACACTTACATTTTACAAATTTCGATCGCTTTCATAGCGATAATCATGCTTGTTTCAGGATTTCTGATACCCGAATATGTGTTGCACTTTGTAAATGATAAACCGATCACTGTAATAAGGATTAAGACAGAAACAGGAATTATCGTTCTACAATAATACCTGGGTATATTGAAATTGCCAATAAGCATAAACAAAAGCATTATAATATTTATCAACAGATAAAAGCGTGTTTATAATTCTGTACCTTTTTGGACTTCTGTAATAGCCTGACACTTTGTTTCGATTGTATGAACTTTGTTTTCTTTTTACACCACTGTCAGATAATCTAACTATCCCCCCGGGTTGGCTACCGAGTCCTTCGTTAGATTGCTTATCAGACATGTTGTGTACTGAAGATTTAGATTTTTGGTACTGACTTTTATACTCAAAATAATGTCTTTGATTGTTTAATTTCTTGATTTCAATATCACTTTGATGTGTTCAGTGTTTACTTTGATATATAATAATGTGTATAAGCATGTATTTTCGATAAATTTAAATTCTTATTACAGTAATTGTCCCCAAGCTGCTGTTTCATTATCGTGTCATCCTATGTCTGAGTGTGCAGTGTATTAACACCTCCAAATCACCTGACCTGCTTAATTAAATTTAGCTTCCAAAAACAACAGCTAAAACAACAGCTTGGGGCTAATAAGGTGTGATTACCAGCAACGGTCCAATTGTAAAATTAGCATAATGGGATCATTGTGTACTAAGGTATGAATTCAGCGGAGCGAGAAATTAATTGGACTTCGAGATAACGCATGTGTTTATAGCACTTGGGACCATAAATCTACTTCGAGATAAGCGAGGTATTCAAGATTTCCTTGTTCGAGATACCGGGGTTTTTTAAAATCATAAATGTAGTAAAAATGGCCAGGACCGTTGATTCACTTCGAGATATCCGTGGTATTTGACATATCAGTGTTCGAGATACCAAAGTTTACCTGTAATATGAATAATCATAGCTTTGCTGTTACAAAATTTTTTTTATTGATATATCCTTTTTATTCCTTTATAAATTTTGAAAATTGTTATGGTCCCTCTCTGTGGGTCATGATTTGAACAATTTTGAATCTAAATTACCTGAGGATGCTTCTATATTAATACGACTAAACATGGCTGTTCTTAAGAAGATTTTTAAAGATTTTTCCTATGTATTCCTATGTAAAACTTTGATTACCCTCTGTGGCCCCATCCTACTCCCTGGGGTCATGATTTCAACAAACTTGCTTCTACACTACCTGAGGGTGCTTCCATATAAATATGACAAATCATGGTTTTGCTATTCTTAGGAAGAAGATTTTTAAAGATTTTTCCTATGTATTCCTATGTTAAACTTTGATCTCCCATTGTAGCCCCACCCTACCTCTGGGGGTCACAATTTGAACAAACTTGATTCTAAAGTACCTGAGGATGCTTCCATATAAAAAGACCAATCATGGCTTTGGTGTTCTTGAGAAGAAGATTTTAAAGATTTTTCCAGTGTATTGTATAACTTTAATTGCCTATTGTGGCCCCACCCTAACCCTGGGGGTCATGATTTGAACAAACTTGAATCTACACTATGCAAGGATGATTTCACATAAGTTTCATCTTTTCTGTCCCAAGAAGTTTTTAAGAAGAAGATTTTTACATGACCCTATTTCCTAAATATCTCCCCTTTTAAGAGGGTGTGGCTCTCCATTTGAACAAACTTGGATCGCCTTTACCCAAGAATACTCTGTGCCAAGTTTGGTTGAAATTGGCTCAGTGGTTCTGAAAAGAAGATGAAATTGTAAAAAGTTAACGACAATGCCAACAACAACAACAATGCCAACGTCAGACAAGAACAAATTCTGATCAGAAAAGCTCACTTGAGCCTTTGGCTCAGGTGAACTAAAAAGTCTTTTCAGCTGCTGAAACATCAAACTGAACAAACGTTTTAAGATACCTGTGGAAAAAAAAATGTATGGGAAGAAATTAAGAAAGGATAATCAGACAGAGCAATTACTATAGGGAGATACGTTTCTATAATTCCTACATGAACATTCATTTGCTAAAAATACAGAATAGTTTATTTTGTGTAAAGAATTGTCTGACCTCTCCTTCTGTCCACTATTTGTTTCAGATAGTCCTCTTTAACAACATCAGGGAATAACTGGGCTGTCTCCTGTCAAAGATATTTATGTATTAAGGTTAAATGTACCAGTAGCACTCCATTCCTTAAAAGTAATGGAGCCAAGGCTCCAAATGGAACACTAAAATTCATTAATTCATCGTTTTAAATGCTCGTAATTATTGTTTGTCAATGAATAAAAAAGGCATATTTTTTTTAAAATACGAGGGGCATTTCAAAAGTTCTGGCAACTGGTATATAAAATTTTAACTACGTTACGGATTAAATTGACTCTGATACCACTGTAAAGCTTAGGCAAATATGCATTAGTAGTGACGTCATTTTACATTCAAAATGACGTATAGGTCTGCTAAAATGACGTCATAATTAGGTATACTCTGTATACTGGGCGTAAAAATGACTGATAAGGAGAACAATTTTTTTGTTGAGCAAAGACGTATTGCAAAATTCGCTCATTGCTTGGCTTTATGGCAACAGAAATAAAAGCCGATTTAGATGTAGTATATAGAGAGCATGCTCTTTCATATCGAGCAATAGCAAGATGGGTAGTTCAATTTAAAGAGGGTAGAAAATCAATTGAAGATGACCCCCGTTCGGGGCGTCCAGTTTGTGCATATGGCGAAAAAGAAATCGTCGCTGTTCAAAATACGATAGCTGATGATGCTAGATATACAGTTGAGGAAATAGCAGACTTAACTAACATTATTTCGTCAGCAGTTTTTCGTATTTTAAAGGAAAACTTAAAGCTTAGGAAAGTCTGTGCTAGATGGGTGCCGCATCTTCTCTCGGAAGAGCAAAAGCGCATCCGGGTAGAAATGGCTTCACAGTTACTAACAATTTATGAAGACTGTGACCAAAGGCGAATAAATGAGATTGTAACTGGTGATGAAACATGGATATATTTTTTTGAACCGGAAACTAAGCTCAATAATAAAGTTTGGATCGTTGAAAATGATACAAGGCCTCAAATTGCACGCAGAAACCGGTCTGTCCGGAGAGTAATGTACGCCTTATTTTTTTATTCTAAAGGCCCTGTTGCTCAAGTTCTGGTTCCAGAACAACACAGCAGTGTTACTGGACAATTTTATGCAGAGAATGTCTTGTCTCAGGTTGTAGAACACTATAAAACGACCCGACCAACAACCAGTACTAGAGGAATAAAGCTCCTCCATGACAACGCACCTGCCCATAGATCAGAGGTAGTAATCAAATATTTAAAGGAAAATGGTACTGCCGTTTTACCACATCCACCCTACAGTCCTGACCTAGCTCCATGCGATTTTTGGTGAATGCCGTTATCAAAGAAGCCCTCCGAGGACGGCGATTTGAAAGTCGTCATGCAGTGGGAAGTGCCGTATTCCAGTGTATGAAGCGTATACCGAAAGAGGACTATAGGGCAGCATTTTCCACGTGGGTTTCAAGACTGAAAAAGTGTGTCCAGGTCAACGGAGACTATTTTGAGGGATTGATATAATTTAATTTATGATAATGACGCTCATTAATTTACCGCACACCAGTTGCCAGAACTTTTGAAATGCCCCTCGTAAGATCCCCCGTAAATATACTTTTAACATATTAGTAGTATTTAATATATATATAGAGAGAGAGTTATTTAAATCCATAATCCTTCAACACCTTGATAGCGAAGTGTGATGAGTGTATATGTCTGACTACAAAAGTGAAGGTACCGAGTTGGACTACCGAGAGAATGAAGAGTGCTACACTTTTTCTGAATATGAAAATACAACTTTATAAAATTTTCTAAGTTCTTGCCCCAGTAGAGGCAAGGGAAGAATAATTTGTACTTAACAAAAATTGTTGTCAATGTAAATGCAACTCTCCATTCTTGAAAAGTAATGGAGCATTCAAACAAAAGAGTGATGTCACAAGTAGATTTTTACTCAACACAGTGCTTAACTACTGTTTTTTGTTTTTGTTTTTTTTTTAATGCCATAAACCAGTTAAATCTACAATTCTACTAATCTGTAGTGTAGAAAATTGTGAGAACATGTACCTGAAAACATACGCTTGGTTCAGATTTCATTATTTCCGTTTGAAGCTGCTCTCCTTCCATGACACCCAAATCTCTTCTTTGCTGTTTCTTTTAAAATATAACAAGAAAATAGAAATTAAATAAATTTGATTGTTTGATTATCTATTCTAGGGATATGCATACACAAAATCACTGAACTGTTAAATACAGTAAAACATACTTATAGCAAAGTACCAGGGACAAATAATTTTTGGTTTGTTATAGATATTCCCTATATCCAGGAAATTCATCAATTTTAAAACAACAGGCAATGAAAATCACTTTGCTGTAAGCGTACATTTACTGCGAGTCTGATATACCCATGTTGTACTGTTTTCATGAACACTGTAAATGTCTTTAATTTCATGTGTTTAGAATTCCATGTTTTCCTATATTGGTACATTTTACTGTGGTTTTAATTTCATGGTCATTGAATTTTTCATTACTTAATTTATATGATTTTAAAATTGTTCTTTAAAAACAAATATAATTATGGGAAATGATTCATAACAAACTAATCATGTAACTTCAATATGTTGTTATTAATCTCCGGTTTCCTATTGATTTCCGATTGATTTACTATTATGGAATAGTAAAGCAGGTTTTTAAAGTGCATGGCACGTACTTGATATATTTGCTACATTAATACTTATATTGATAAGTCCATAATATACATGATGGCTTAATGTTCATGGATAAATCTTTGATCGCAAACATATTAAGTTTTTATAATGATATTTTGAGAAAATATTTTTCATGGGGGTCAATTATGATAATTTTCTCTTACAGCATGATTCAAAAGAATTATCCCTATGTAAAATCTCATCTTCTTCACAACATAAAATTGATATTGCAGCCAAGTATGCAACAGCTGTAGAATAGTTGCAATTAATAATTCTTTCTTGTCAAAATGTTGTCAATTACCGACTGCTCAGCCAACCAAGAAGTCTTCATCTCCCAAGTCTGTAATCTTTTGTATCGGCCAAGCAGCTGGTTGTCAGTACGGCCTGGGAACTCTGACGCCAATTTTATCCATTTCACAGGATTTCCTGAATGTGAAAATGTCCTACTTTGACTTTTGTTGACGTCTTTTAGATTTGTAAGGATTCTGAACAATTGCTTTTCTTCCCAAATTCATTATATCAAACAATAGAAAACATATCTGTCATTCTTATAAGAAATATTCCAAGAATCACGAAGGTATCCTGCTACAGTAACCTGTGCATTAGTATTTTACTTACATTCCACAGAAGTTGAATGTGTGTTTAATGTATATCATTATACCAATTTTTATAACAAAATTTCTTAAATACTTTATCTAATTTTAAACTAACAAAGAACAAAATGTGCTAATACCTGTTTCCATCATGGCATAGACATGTTTCAGAAGCTTCTTATCTTCCTCGTACGTCCATGGCTCAGGCGAGCTGATGGCGGGATTCAGACAGTGATTGTATCTATCCCTACACTGGAGAGCCGTACGACCTGGCACATACTCCTGTAACAGTCTCCAGTTCTTGGCACCATGCAGCTGAACTGCAGTCATCAGCAACTAAAAATAGAATTCAAATTTCTTTTAAGGTTTTATTTAAATCACAGTAGGTGCTGTACATGTAAAATTTCTCCCGAGTCACTGTGTGATAATTTCTGTTTATTAATACAGTGTGTAGCTTACACAGTCTTCCTGAAGAGTCCATCTCCCTCTTTTCGTAGTTGGGTTAATCTGGTTCCACCTGGATTGGCACTGATTCTGACTCCTCCCATCCAGAAAGTATGAAACTATTAATAGAAACACAAACTTAAATCACATATTACAATCAACAGCTGGGTGAAGAGAAAATGAAGCAACAATTTTTTCTCCAAAAATACAACTTTTGTATACTTTTTAAATACAAGTACAATCATTCATATACTTATCTAATTTAAAGGATATTTGGCAGATTACTTATGACATTGTCTGACTTATCCCTTCTTCTAGACTCTACTACTGTACTTAATCTTTGTATACATACCTTGAGCAAAAGAAATTTTGTTTCCAACCCGAACACTGTCTACAACTTCCTTCAACATTTCATCTTCCTCCTCTGACCAGGGTCTAAAGAAGATAATATGGTTGTAATTTCATGGATTACTGTGACACTTAATTACAGGGGCTCTAAATTCCAGTTCAGATCAGATGTTAAAAATGAGATACTACAGCATGATACTCACCTATTATGGTAGGCATCATTGAGACTGTGCTGATAGAACTGTAGACATTGAAAGGGGGTTCTTCCTGTCTGAAAGTCAAGAAAATGTCAATTTGCTATCGTTAAAGGATGCTTATACATGTATGACTAGAGAGTAAGACTGTTGTCTGTCTATTTCACATTCAGTGTATGTACATGTATGTAATGCATACATTGTCACACCTGATGCAGTTTTACATATTTTGCTACAGTTTATTCTTGTTTTTAGAGGAAAAAAAATCAATGCACTTTGAACATGTGATAATTCACATTCATTTAAGAAACTTAGCATATTCATTTGTCACATTTGCCCCTTTATCCAGCGGGAATCTGTCTTTAAATAACATAAGATTGCAGAATAATGAGATCCAAAATACCCCCAGTTCATGTGCAATAGCAGGCCAGTTCTTCATGTTGTATTTATTGGCCAGTTCCTGGAGATGTTTAGTCTCCTGGGTGGACCACTTCTCTTTGTTGATGGAGGGATGCAGTACATTGTTCCACATGATCTCACATTCTTTCTCCTCTCGCTTACCACCAAACTTTTTAACAAAATAAAAAAGATAAGAACACAAAACTTCGATGATTCAACATAAAATTGCAAAGTTTTTTTTTTTTGAAACAAACGTAGACAACATATCTCCAGAATTAAATCCAGTACTCGCTATCTGCAATTACCTTGTAAAGGCATAAATGAATGGAAGAAAGTTCTAAAGTTTCTAATATATGGTTTCAGTTTAACCTAAATCAGTCCAACTGACCATAATCCTGTTTTAATACAATGTAATCCAATATAAGCAATTTCAAATTAACAGACATTTACAAGAAAAGAAACAGAGATAAATTTTTTTGGCCATTTCCATCTGACTCCAACATAGGAGATAATTCTTAAGTTATACTTACGATGAAATTGGCAATCATGAGCCAGTCCACCTTCTCACTATCAACACTGAACAGTAACTCAATTTCTGATGTCTCTCTGTAAAATAATATTTAATAAGACATGCTTGTATTAGAAATGTTTCCAGAGTTACCTTAATCCTATGGTAGAAATCCTTGCTTGACCTTAAACATCCCCATGTCTGACCTTGAGATTGACCAAATAAACAATTCTGACCAACATCATTAATCCTAAATTCTCAAATAAAAAAGTAAAGGCCAACATTAAATTTTTAGCCAGACTAAAAGTAATTTCCCCTAACCATGGAGTAAAATGCTTTCACAATTATTATCACTAAGCATCTGTACAGAAATTGAAATGCCTGTACTAATCCTGTCACATCTCTGATGTGGAATATCTGGCCCCTGACTATTTATAGGATTTTCTCCATGTCTCTGTAAAATGCAACCCTATCCTCTGATTGCCTTTCTTTTTGCCTCTGCATGGAATACCTTAACATCTCCCCTCAAACCCCACCCCTCTCTCATCTCTTAAGGACAGATGATACAAACAAAAAATGGATGCCTGGATTCGTATATATTTTTAGACATATTTTGGTTGTAAATGATGCAAATAATAAATTTCTAAAATATTCAAAAATTGTAAATTTTCTTTGATGTTTAAAATTATACCTTTCTGCAACCATCCTAAATAATCTATACAATTTTTTTGTCACTATAAATCCCATTATTGTGAAACACTGACTAAAAAAATTAAAAACTATGCCGGTAAACTTATTCATTTTACTTATATAAACATGACCTTAGTTGTTATTTTCAAGATTTTTTATATAAGTTTGTTTGCATTATCTGTCTTTAACTTGACTTTCTTCAAGTCCTTGTAAAGCTACGGCAGAATATCTGACCCCCATTCTCTTACTTATCTCAATCCATATCTAGGTCTAGAACATCTAACCCCAAACTCTCCCTGTCCATGTCTAAAACAATTAGCCCCAAACTCTTAGTAAACTCCATGTCTATGTCTAGAATATCTAACCTCAAACCCTAACTTGTCTAGAATATTTAACACCAAACTCTTGTCTCCATGTCCATGTCTTGAACAACTAACCCCAAATCCTTAGTAAACTCCATGTCAATGTCTAGAATAACTTACCCTAAACTCTTACTTGTCTTCATATCTATGTCTAGAATATTTACCCCAAAACTCTTACTTATTCTCCATGTCTATGTGTAGAATATTAACCCCAAACTCTAACTTGTCTCCATGTCTATGTCTAGAACATCTAACCCCAAACTCTTACTTGTCTCCATGTCTATGTCTAGTACATCTAACACCAAACTACTTGTCTCTATGTCTATGTCTAAAACATCTTAAACCAAACTCTTACTGGTCTCCATGTCTGTGTCTAGAATATCTAGCCCCAAACTCTTACTTGTCTCCATGTCTATGTCTAGTACATCTAACACCAAACTACTTGTCTCTATGTCTATGTCTAAAACATCTTAAACCAAACTCTTACTGGTCTCCATGTCTGTGTCTAGAACATCTAACCCCAAACTCTTGCTTGTCTCTATGTCTATGTCTAGAACATCCGCCCCCAAACTCATACTTGTCTTCTTGTCTGTGTCTAGAACATCTCACACCGAACTCTTACTTATCTTCATGTCTATCTTTAGAATATCTCCATGTCTATGTTTAGAATATCTAGCCCCAAATTCTTACTTGTATTCTTACTTTATCTCCATTCTTTGTCTAGAATATCTAGCCCCAAATTCTTACTTGTCTACACGTCTATGTCTAGAATATCTAACTCCAAACTCTTACTTGACTTTCCTCAAGAGTAATGGCATCTGTCACAGAATATCTATCTCAGACTCTTTCTTTTTCATTGCCTGTCTCCAGGTATTACAGAATATCTATCCCAGACTTACTTTTTCAGAACCTCTGTCTAGCTGTTACAAAAAATCTATCCCAGACTCTCACTTTTTTATTACCTCTGTCCAGTTGTTACAAAATATCTATCCCAGACTCTTACTTTTTTTATTACCTCTGTCCAGCTCTTATAGAAAATATCTATGCCAGACTTTCAATTTTTCGTTGCATCTGTTCAGCTTTCTTCATCCTAATTATAACTTGTTAACTTTTTCCACTTATCTGTCCAGGTGTTAAAGATTATGATTCCCCCCCCCCCCCCCACCTTCTACTGACTCTTACTTGAACTTTTTTCCATGTGTCTGTCCAGCTGTAACAAAATATCTACCGCAACAACCCCTTCTGAACCAACTCTTATTTGACTTTCTGACTACCTTTGTCCAGCTGTTAAAGAGTATATCATTTTCCCCCTTCTGACTTTCTTATTGTCTCCATCCATATGTTACATAATATCTTCAACCCCCCCCCCCCCCCCCCAATCTACTGACTCTTACTTGACTTTCTCCATGTCTCTGTCCAGCTGCTCAATCTTCTCCTGCCATTCTGCAAGTTCTTGCTCCTTTTTCTGTCTACAATGCAAAGGGAGAACTTTTTTCTTTCAGCAAATCGAATCAGTCAGTATATACAATTTTGTTCACTTGCCTAAATAATACACCATTTACATGTATTAATATTTATACAAAGACAATTACTAGTAAACAAGAACTTCACCAATTACAAGATACCTATCTTCATAACATTCAGCTTACAATAAAGGTATTTTTTTATTTTACATTTTCAACAGTTAAATGGTGTGATTTATTTATTGAATACTTGTCACAGTGTGAAAGGATATCAAAGTAAGTAAAACAAGAGGCCCATGGGCCACAATGCTCACCTGAGTAACTTTGGTCTTGCTGTTTTTCACCTGTTTTCTCCCCCCCCCCTTGTAGTACTGATTGTGGCCCTGCCCTACCCCCAGGGGTCATGATTTGAACAATTAAAATCTACAATACCCCAGGATGGTTCCACATTAGTTTTAGCCTTTCTGGCCCAGTGATTCTTGAGAAAAAGATTTTTAAAGATTTTTTCTGCATATTTCAATGTAAAACTTGGATTCCTATTGTGGCCCTGCCCTACCCCCCCCCCCCCCCAGGTCATGATTTGAACAATTTAGAATCTGCACTACCCCATAATGCTTCCACATTAGTTTCAGCTTTTGTGGTCCAGTGGTTCTTGAGAAGAAGATTTTTAAAGATTTTTACTACATATTTCAATGTAAAACTTGGATTCCTTATTGTGGCCCCATCCTACCCCCAGGGGTCATGATTTGAACAATTTAGAATCTGCACTACCCCAGAATGCTTCCACATAAGTTTCAGCTTTTTTTGGCCCAGTGGTTCTTGAGAACAAGATTTTTACTACATATTTCAATGTAAAACTTGGATTCCCTATTGTGGCCCCATCCTACCCCCAGGGGTCATGATATGAATAATTTAGAATCTACACTACTCCAGAATGCTTCCACATTAGTTTCAGCTTTTCTGGCCCAGTGGTTCTTGAAAAGAAGATTTTTAAAGATTTTTACTACATATTTCAATGTAAAACTTGGATTCCCTATTGTGGCCCCGCCCTACCCCCAGGGGTTATGATTTGAACAATTTAGAATCTACACTAGCCCAGGATGCTTCCACATAAGTTTCAGTTTTTCTGGCCCAGTGGTTCTTCAGAGGAAGATTTTTTAATGACCCCACCCAATTTTTGTATTTTCTTGATTATCTCCCCTTTGAAGGTGACTTGGCCCTTCATTTTAACAATTTAAACTCCCCTTCACCCAAGGATGCTTTGTACCAACTTTGGTTAAAATTGGCCCAGTGGTTCTTGAGAAGAAGTTGAAAATGTGAAAAGTTTACAGACGGACGGAGAGACGGACAGACGGGTGATCAGAAAAGCTCACTTGAGCTTTCAGCTCAGGTGAGCTAAAAATAACTTCTGGTCTGTCATTAGATAGAGATAGTAACTAAACCATCTTGATAGAGACTAAAACTGCCAATATCTTCCCAAATATGTTGCTAAAATCTATGTTATGTTCTCAATCACACAACTGCTAAGCTATGAGGTTTCAACAGCTCAACTATGATGTCACAGCTTATGACACTGTGTTAACAAAAGACAGAGGCAAAGCTTCACACTCTTGAAAATATTAAAAAATCCTGTTCCACTCATTATATAAATTCCATATCCAATACAAAGCATTGAATATCCTCTATTTATCTGAGAATTCACATCAAAAACTTCTGCAGTTAAACAACAGGCCCATAGGCCTTAACATTCACCTGAGTTTAATACAGCCCTGTAAAGGTCCAGGATCAAAAGAGGTATGTATGATAAACTGACAGATGAAGAAGTGTTGCCCAAAAACAAGAGAAAAAGGATGATCAAGGATCAACAAAATACAGTCTACTTCAAATATATTGAAATCTATGGAACCACCACATTTTGTATTACACCATGTACACATTAAAAACTTCTTGTGTAATTTTTTTTACATTTAATATTTATGGTGAATAAATAAATCATAGGTGCATAACAAAGGGGAATAACTTCTCTCAATGTAGAGAATAAATTTCTCAACAAGATCAATAGAGCCAGTCACCCGCGTGGCACAGCGGTTAGAGCGTCTGCTCTAGAGTCGCAATGTAAGGATTTGATCCTTACGTCGCGGGTTCGAATCCCACTGTGGGACGTGGAGACCGGTCCTTCGGATGAGACCGTATATACCGAGGTCCCGTGTCGCAGTAGGTGTTGGCACGAAAAAGATCCCTCACTGCTCAATGGCCATAAGGGCCGAGTATAGGACAAAATTTGCAGCTCTCCACCGGCAAGTGGTGGCGTCTCCATATGAGTGAAAAATTCTCGAGAGGGATGTTAAACAACATGCAATCAATCAATAGAGCCATGCCCAGTAACAGAACCTTTGACCAAGTGATCAGGAATTTCACATATTTGGTAAAAACACCCTTGCTCATTACAACTTTGTTTTCTGCCTCCTAGATGCCTAGGAGCAGAGAAAAAGACTATCGAAGAATTAATGCATTTTCACTGTATAATCTATAGAGCCCTGCCCTAACTCCATAACCCCTGACCCAGGGGCCATGAATTTCAAAAATCTGGAAGAGGCAGACTTGCTCATCAAGTACATGCACTTAGTTTCTTAGCTAAATACACCGGTAGAGTGAAGAAGCTTTTTAAATTAATGCATTTTCACTATATGATCAGTGGAGCTCCAACTTAACTCCAGAACCCTTGACCCTGGGGCCATGAATTTCAAAATTTTGGTAGAGGGCTCAATGTTCATAACAATAATAATAATAATAGTTTGGCTTGATATGCATGAGTAAAGCAGAATGATTACTTTAATTTTGATGGTTTTAGCCCTACCCCTAAAGTTCAAGTGGGACAAAGACCATGATATTCAAAATTTTTATTGCCCTTTACCTATAGATGCAATATGCAAAATTTGGCTGAAATTGGTTCAGCAATTCCAGAGAAAAAGGACTAAAAATGTTCAAAAGATTAAGACCAAAATGTACACATGATGGATGAAAATAGATAGTAACAAGAGGCCCATGGGCCACATCGCTCACCTGAGTAACTTTGGCCATGCTGTTCTTTACCAGATTTCCCCTTGAAATACCTATTGTGGCCCCGCCCTACCCCCGGGGGTCCTGATTTGAACAATTAGAATCTACACTACCCCAGGATGCTTCCACATAAGGTTCAGCTTTTCTGGCCCAGTGGTTCTTGAGGAGAAGTTTTTTAAAGATTTTCCCTATATATTTCAATGTAAAACTTGGATTCCCTATTGTGGCCCCGCCCTACCCCCGGGGGTCATGATTTTAACAATTTAGAATCTACACTATCCCAAAATGCTTCCACATAAGTTTCAGCTTTTTTGTGGTTCTTGAGAAGAAGATTTTTTAAAGTACCCCACCCTATTTTTGTCTTTTCTTGATTATCTCCCCTTGTAAGGGGACTTGGCCCTTTATTTTAACAATTTAAACTCCCCTTCACCCAAGGATACTTTGTACCAAGTTTGGTTAAAATTGGCCCAGTGGTTCTTGAGAAGAAGTTGAAAATGTGAAAAGTTTACAGACGGATGGACAGACGGACGGACGACGGACAACGGGTGAACAGAAAAGCTCACTTGAGCTTTCAGCTCAGGTGAGCTAAAAAAAAATTGAATTTACACTACCTGAGGATGCTTCCATATCAAAATGACTAAACATGATTTTCATTTCTTGAGAAGAAGATATTTTCCAATATGTTATTATGTAAAAATTTTTTGATCCCCCATTGTGGCCCATCCCTATCCCCGGGGTCATCATTTTAACAAACTTGAATCTACACTACCTGAGGATGCTTCCATATCAAAATGACTAATCATGGCTTTGCAGTTCTTCATCAGAAGATACCTTCCTATATATTTCTATTTCAGGCATTGATCCTCCATTGTGGCCCCGCCCTACCCCCGGGGATCATGATTCGAACAAATTTAAATCTACACTACCTGAAGATACTTCCACATAAATATGATCAATCAGGGCTTTGCTGTTCCTGAGAAGAAGATTTTTTAAAGATTTTTCCTATATATTTCTATGTGAAACTTTGATCCTCCATTGTGGCCCCACCCTACCCCCGGGGGTCATGATTTGAATAAACTTGAATCTACACTTGAATCCCCTTCACCCAAGGATACTTTGTGGCAAGTTTGGTTGAAATTGGCCCAGTGGTTCTTGAGAAGAAGTTGAAAATGTGAAAAGTTTACAGACGGACGGACAGACAGACAGCTAGACGGACAGACGGACTACAGACAAAATGTGATCAGAAAAGCTCACTTGAGCCTTCGGCTCAGGTGAGCTAACAACAGGTCATGTGAGTGAATCACATGACCTAATAAAACTTAATCAGTTTATTGCATACTTACCCTCTCTCATTAAGTTCATTCAGTTCTATCAAATTTGCTTCATCTCCATCCTCCAGCTCTGACTTGTCTATGTTAATTTTTACCAGCTCTGATTCCAGATTCTTGACCCTTTCCACATAAACTTCTTTCCTAAGTAAAAATAAAATATATGCTAAACATCATATACTATGTATTATATACATAATTATCATGAAACATCCTTCTATTTTTATTTCTTCAAATGGGGGAGGGGGGTATTAATTTTGTTTAATTACAGGACCCCATGTCTTCTAAACAAGATTGTAAATAGAATTTATATATGGAAAAACTGGAAGTTCCCTGTTTGGGTGGGCTGCAGAGAATTTTCTGATTAGTTTATTTAGTATTAAGTTCCTAGGGATAAGAAAGACCAGCTGTAATTCGGAAAATCATCCAGCAACAGAGAAGGTACCTTATTGGGTTTAAGGGAACATAAAGATGGAAGTGGAAAGCCAACTATTTAATCTTACCCTGGACACCTCTTCCTGAGAAGGCAAACTTACATAGTGAACATCAAATAAGCACCAAAAGGCACCCATCTCCCATAGCATTACTCCCAATAATTTTCATTTTGACAAAAATTAACCATTATTGACATTAACACAAAAGAATTAACTTTAAATTTTATGCATTTTTCATTTCTTTTTTTTTCTGACTACAATTTTCAGGCCTGTATCTTTATTCTGTTTAATTAATTCACTTTAAATTTGAACAAACTTATCCGAGACCTATTTACCTACACTAAACTGTTCAAGATGGGGACAAGAGTCTACATCTAAAAACAAACACTAACCTGTTCATAATGGGAACAAGCTTTTGTTTGAGAGCTTCTTCCTTCACAGCTTCCTGAAGTTTACACCTTTGAGCAACACTCCCTACAACATTATAGCTTTAATAATAATACCTCAACAATTATCTGCAAAGATGTATACATCAAAATTTATACAAAAGAGGCTCAATAGGATAAGAAAAGTAATTTTAAGAAGAATCCTTCTTGTGAGACAAACTTAAATTACCCATACATGTATAGAACTTTAGTTATGGTAGCAATCACTTACAGGGCAGAGGTGGTGTTACATCTTGTTTGTGTTCCTGTGTAAGCTTTTTCATCTGAACATCAGTGTTAGGAGGGGGTACCTGCAATCCAGTGGAAAACAAAATCCTTATTAAATAAAACTGACAACACACAATATTAAGGCCTACAAAAGAGATTTTTAATTTCTGAAAATTCCTGAAATGGGGAGTGGGGTTCAAATTTGAAGAAGTTACAGGTGTATCAAATAATTCCTATATTACAGGTTTAATATGACCTCCTTATGACTGTTTATTATGGATCAATATAAAGTCTCTACTATCCATTAATTTTGAATCTGTCAACGTGACCACAATATTTAGCTAAATGAATGTAAGCATGGAGAACACAATGAAAACAAGAGGCCCAAGGAACATATTTGAATCTACACTATGTAACAAAAGCTTTCACATAAGTTTTATCTTTTCTAGTCTAGTGGTTCTTGAAGAGAAGATTTTTAACATTTTTATTATATATTTCAATGCAAAACTTTGATCCCTTATTGTGGCCCCACCTTACCCCCAGGAATCATGATTTGCACAATTTAGAATTTACACTTCCTCAGGAAGCCTTCACATAAGTTTCACCTTTTCTGGCCCAGTGGTTCTTGAGAAAAAGATTTTTAAAGATTTTTCTTATATATTTCCATGTAAAGCTTTCATCCCCTATTGTGGCACCTACAACATGGTCACAGTGGGTTAATGATGGCATCCTATCAACTTTAATATTTAATATATGTCTTTAACTTAATATTAGAATCCTACACTCTTGAAACATTTCGTTAATAAAATATACAATGACTAATTAGAGTGTTTGGGGGTATTTATAACACAAGTCTTTTTTTTAATTAAGGTAAGAAGCACGGTTACACTTTATCAAGGACCCATATTATGAAAATATCAATCAATTTCACTGCTTTTCATTTGAGTTTTGATCATATCCCCATGTGTCAATGGAGTGCTGCAAATTTTGACCTGTTCTTGGCACTTAAGGCCATAGAGCAGTGAGGAGTTTTTTATCATGCCAGCATCTACTGCAACACTGGACCTAAGTTTTTATGGTCTCATCCAAGTACCTGTCTCCATGTCCTGCACTGTGATTTGAACCTGCGATTAACTCCTTACTTCATGACTCTAAAACAAAAAGCTCTAGAAACACTGTGTTACATGAGGCCCTTAAAGAGGTATTCTGCCTGTGTAAGCTCTGGAAGCTGTTAGTAGGTTTGAAATATATCTGGATGACCAATTGTTTGGTATATGAGAATCTTCTCTCCTTGTAAATTGTTGATTTCAACAAATTTACACTGGTATGAGATATTTCCTAAGTTCAATTGAACAATAGTTGTGAATTTATTTACTGTTAAATTTTGTTTTTAGATTCCATTGCATGAAATTCTCTTCTAGAATTGTTTTTGTTGTACTTTTCCTATTTAAAAAGGTATTATTAAATTACAGTGTATTTTAGAATATATTTTCAAAACATCTGTCATAAAAAAAAATATTTACCTACCTACCTACCCAACTTGAGAATTTACGGTCGGGTCAGGGGAAACAAAGATATTTTTAATGATGGCCCATGGATGCTTTGTGACTTTGGTTAAAACTGGCCCAGTGGGTCTTAATAAGAAGTCAAAAATGTGAAAAGTTTACAGGTGGACAGACAGCTGTCGGACAACAGGTGATCAGAAAACCTCACTTGAACTTTCAGCTCAGGTGAGATAAAAATACTAATTCTGATCTCTAAAAGCATATTATAGGAAACAAGCATATATATTTTTGCTTCATTCATCCAGAACTGTTTAATCTAACTGCATGTTCATTTATACCTTTTGATCCTTGTCTTTAAAATAGGGTTTACAAAACATTGTTGAACATTTCTTTTTGCTTCCTTGTTTTTCTGTACTTTTGGAGCCCCCAGCAGATTTCATTTCAAGTCCTTCTTCTAACACTCTCTAAAACAGAAATTGCACAAATGGAAAAAAATTCTTCTGACAACAATCATCAGGCATGTAGACAACCTTCAAATATTGTACTTGCAAAATAAAATAAGTGAAAAATCTCCAGACCACCAATAATTCCAGGACAAAACAGACCTAAATATATGTCCATATAACATGAAACTCTTCTAATGACTATATCAATTTTGATTTCCAAATACAATTCAATTTAATAGAATTACAGAAGAGATCAAGGTTACAAAACTGAGGTATAGCTAAAATGCTCTCACTAGATGTGAATTGGTGCAATTTGTTTGAATGGGTTTTCTTAACTTTTCTATGTCATAAATAAAGTCAAGATCAAAAAAGTACTTTCACAATGAAATGCTCGTGATATATTGAAGTAATCCTTTATGTTTTTCAATAAATATAAGCAATAAATAAACTGCACAGTCAGGGTTTCCTGAAAGGTCAAGGTCTTAATATTTTCTAATCAAAATTTCTCAAAAAGATGTGTTTGTGTTTGAAATTACAAAGATATAATGACATAATCCTGTACAATATAAGAAAATTAACTACATTTTACACAATAAAAACAAAATCTCATTGAAGGTCAATGACACACAAAATTCTGGCATGGGTACAATATGCATGTCATTAAGAATCTTTATTTCACCCTTTCATAACATTCCAAATAATTTTTCTAAATTCAAAGCAACAAGAATATGATTTTATTGTAAAGAGGACACTCGGCACACCTCGGCCGATTCGTACCTCATCAAACCTCGGCTGTATCATGTAAACCTCCATTGAGCCGGAGCTACTTTATACGCAATATGGCTGCGCCCTACATTTACACGTGCACAGTGTGCTGAATTCGATCCTTTAACAAACATGTGATTATGTAAAGATACTAAGTGCATTTTTCTTGGTAAGTGTTATTCTTAGTGTAACCTGTATGCTTTTGAAAATTTTCATCGTATATCAGATGCATGTTTGTTATCGTTTTCAAAGCGTTACGTTTTCCCTAAGCGGTAAACAGGCAGCCTTATCACAAATGTAAAGCGGAGATGCATATCAAGTTTCCTCGTACAGCCGAGGTTTGATGAAGGTGACGGAATCAGCCGAGGTTTGCCGAGTGGTAAAGAGGACAGTCTCTTTGTATTAGTTAAATGGATATTGAGACAGAATAGGAGGTGGATGAGGGTAGACTGACCCAAGTATGCCTTGGCCACCTTATCACCTTCACACTCTCTTTAAGGCAGGTATGGCCATGGTCATCACAGATAAAAATTCATTTGTAACATTAGTTAGTTAATCATCTAAAACATTTTTTCCCCACAAATTACAATATATTCAGAGATATTCAAGGACTGTACTTCTCTTTCTTTTTTAAACTAGAAAAATTTTACCTCACCTGTTTTTCCCTGTTTTCATTCAGTGCCAATTCTATTTTTTTCAGTGATTCCAGAATGAGTTCTTGATAGGTTCTGTTGAGTGCTAGACATGTTTCTGCATTAATGGGTAAATGACTAATTTCAGACATCCCTGAAAACTGATCTATTTCACTGGGTACCTGAATATATATATATTAGAAAATCATTTTAAAATAATTGGTACATAATGTCTTCCAATTGAATCATATAATAAATAAATACTATTACTTTAAATCTTGTGTATCCAAAAAAATTCTATTAATGCACTCAATACACATACAGTCAATTTTCAAATTACTGCTATTCGATTCATCACACACCATTCTTGCAATATCTCTATATTTTTTCAGGAACATTTTTCCTGCTATATAACATGCTAAAATTCTCTTTATAACACCAAATATTCACATACCCCCTTCGTCACACATGGTCAATCAGACACAGAAAGAAATTTTTGGCTACCTTTCAAACATCCTCACAACATCAGGAGTCCTGAGTCCACTCATGTATGTGGGACCCCAGATATTTTATGGGCTTGCTTCTCATTGAGAAGCACCAATCAGATTGGGGCTATCATAATTAAGTTGACTTAAACTATAAACAGAATGCAAGCAGTTGACACCTCAATGCACCTGTTAAATGTTGTTTATCACTGAAAGACTTAGTCTGCTTGGTTGAAAGTTAAGAAAACAATCAAGATTTGTAATTTCACCAAGATGTCACTTCAGTCAGCCCGTAAAATATCGAATGAAATTTGCCAGGGGTCCAAGCCTCTCAAAGATGAAGGAAATGCAAGGACAAGAAAGCCTCGATGGCCATCAATAGATATCAAGAAAATATATATCTTTAGGAAGTGTAGGTACAACAAGCTACTTTTTTCATATAAATCTTTATCTTTTTTGCTTGTATATCTTATTTTCTTTTCTTTCTTTCTGTTTCTTTTTTAACTGGTCTCTCTCTTTTTTTTATTCCCAAACCGGTGAAACCATAGGGGACTATAGGTCTCCTCCTTGTCTGTCCATCCATCTGTCTGTCCCCCGTCTGTTTGTCTTTCTTGGTTTTCCAACTTTTTTTTCTAAATGCTTGCAGATATATATTGAGCTAATTTTTGGTATGTGAATCTACCTTGATGAGTTATAGATTAAGTTTATATTATGTTCTTCTTCAATGATTTTTTTTAATGAATTTACAGCATTTTTAATTTTCTAATGGGAACCAGATTACAGTTGTCAGTAGGGGACTGGTATTGCTAATGCAATACTCTCAGAATGGTGTTTTTTTTTTCTTTTTTTGTATTTTTAAAGATTACCCCTTGCTTTGCTTCAGAGCTGATGGAAAAAATGGTGTCCACACTTTCATAATCTGAAATATGAAAAATATTCAGATGGACTAAATTCTAGTGTTTTTCAAACGATTTTATGTGAGGAGTATGTTATAGGGTATGAATACTTTTTTTAACTATAAAGTTGTAAAATTATATATACCTTCATGCTCAATGCTATCTTCGTTGATACAAAGCACGTCTTCATCGTCTTCATCTTGCAGTTCAACTTCAGAGCCCTCAACTTGCAAAGCAAGATTAAGACGCTCTATGTCCTCTTCGATCTGCTCCCTTTCTTCCCCAATGCTATCCATCTTGTGATATTTTACAGACCAACTTCAAAACGTTTATAATATTCTAAAAGTTCTTCGTTCTTCGACGCGACATTACTTTTTTTCGTTTTGGACTCCACTTCCGGTGGGGTGATCTAAATAAATCGTACAAAATTGTTTCGCACAATTGTTTTCTTTGAAACTGAAATCAGTAATTGTAACCCCCACCCCCACCCCCCACCCCAAAAAAAGTGACCATATAAAATTTTTATGTCACTAACATGACATCATTTATCTATAATTTTAGATTTATTAGATCGATTTCACCGTTAAAATACCTGGATTCGTATACATTGTACATAATATTCCCAGGCCCGTGGAACGCGGGGGGCCGCCCCCTTTTTTAAACTGGCATTGCCTGTATGTACGAAATGTATATTGCGCATATCAGACAGGCAAGCCATTCTACCCTTTTTTCTGAGTATATTATTTTGTTATAGTAATTTTTCCTTTAGATGCAGGTTGGCCCACCACTTTTTGATGTTGTAAGGTTGTTCACTGGCAAATTCCAGGAATTGGATATTAAATTAATAGCTTTTTTAGCTATTTTTTTCATCAGACTTTTTTGGAAAGTTGTCCCTCCCCTTTTGGAAACCATTGCTACGGGCCTGATTCCTCTGGCATATTAGTAAGTGTCGCTTCATTCATTCACTTTCTATACGAAGTTTTTACTTGCATAAAAGTTCCATGGAATATTGAAGACCCCCTCCCGTATTAAAAACCTCTTCTCGCAAAGCAGTGCATGGATCCTGTACCATAATAAAAAATAAACTTCCGTAACGTTTTTGTATTTAAATTGTACAAAAACCATGCATATCTGACTGGACTGAAACTTACCTACAAGCGAGTCGTATGGTTTTAGACATAAAAAAACATAAACATTGTTGTCTCTCTTACGAATATTCCTAAGTTTCCTAAGACTGCGTTATAACCACTAGTATATTCAATTCAATTAAATTTGTTTATTTACCAATTAAGTGCCCTCATGGGGCAAAAAGAAACTACACTGTAACACCTGTATATTTTAATATATACGTATACATGTAATACAATATACATACATACAAGAGAGAAAGAGTTGCATGATTGATAGGAAAAAGACATAAAAAGGAGGAATAAACCAGATAGTATTTATCGAAATAATTGTTAAATGTTTCCGAGACCAGATTTATAAAGATTTTTTCCTGAGTGCACAGATATATTCTTGAGAGAAATATATTGTCTAATTGGTAATTAGTATTAACTTTTTTATGTTGAATACCCTGAATAGATCCTTTTTGGAATTCTGTCTTTTTTAAAACCATGTCCCCTGTCCAGTTATACTGAAGAATTTTTTTCACGTACTTATACAGTATACATATTATACCTATATTATTGTTCGTTTGTTTTTACTAAAAAGTCCTTAAGAATGCTAAAATCAACACTTTATAAGCATATAGTAGCTTTCTGTAAAAAGGTGCGCAGTGGGATGAACAAATCTGCATGTATAGGCCAATGGTAATATACATGTATCGCTATGTACATATTCTGCAATGGCAGAAAAGTTCCATGATAACTATATTTTCTCACAATAGATTGAATTTACCAAAAAAAAATTATGTGTTCTGTCCCTATACATGGCATTTGCCATTTAATTAATTCTTGTTTCGCTCTGTCAAATACACATTAAAAAGGACTTCGACGTATTGAGGGTAAAATACTTGCTTCAAAATTACTTCAAGTTATCCATGGGTGATTGGTGTTTGTCAATCAAGATGCCGACTTTTTAAAAGATGATGTGTATTTGACAGATCCAAACAAGACTTTATTAACAATGGCAAATGCATGTATAGAGAAAGAACACATAATTCTGGAATTTACACTTTCTTCTGTTGTAAGCGTTGATTAACCAAATTAAAGTTCCCGACTCTCAAATTATTGTTATAAACTATACTAAATTCAAGAGTGCGACTTCAGACAAACAATTAGTTTACATCCCTATAGTATATATTTAGGATTCTTAATTACACAATTTTATTCATTGTTAATCTTAAACTGTTCTTAAACTGATCTTAAAGTGTCATCTAAATTACATAAACAATAGTTTTGAGTAAATAGATAAATTAAAAAAAAAATGTCGCATTTTTTATGGGATTCGCATTTTACGCCATGCTGGTAAAAACGTGTCTCGTTTCGAAATAATAAGCTTGAGATTGCTAACTTAGCTAGTATATATTCTGTGTATGAAACGGTATACTAGGCGATTTAGAACGATAGTGGAAATAATAAATATTTCAATTTTCAAAATCTAATCATCTTCTATTGATAACATAGCAAATAAACTATATGATTTTTAGCTGTCAGTCACAGACATACCTGTAAATCCATCATCCAGTGTACATAATGAGGCATGTCAGCATTTGAGAAAAGTTTCGTCAGAACACTATCAAATTATCAATTACAATTTAATTTTTATAACATACATGTATTTCAATTAACCAGTGCAAATTGTACAGCATTATATTTCATTTGTTAAAAGGCTCACAAAACTGGCTAGAAATGAAATTTGAATATAACGATAATCATGAACTTTCCCAAAGGTCATTTTCGTAAGGTCGAGGTCACTGGACAAAGAGAAGCTAAAATTTACGTCGCATATAACAATAGAACCCTTGACTTGACCGCACTAAAATTGTTACTCAGGCAAGTAGGCAAGTAGTGTGAGGGATTGAAGCGCTCACTTTTTTCTAAGAAGAGTTGTTCCTGTCTATTTTAAAATAGAAATATTCCTTTAAATACCGGCTGCCCTCTAATACCGGCTCCCCTCCTTACGTTTTGTTGTAGCATGATTGAGCTCGGGGTCAAAGGCTAATCAAGGACTATAACAGCAAGATTCCATTCCAAAGGAAGAGAAGTAACTGTGATCCAATGCTACTCACCAACAAACACCGCAGATGAAGAAACAAAAAAAGATTTCTGCGCAAAATTGCAGGCAGCAGTACTAGTGGACAAGACACCAAGACGAGACATCAAAATCTTGATGGGTGACATGAATGCCAAGATAGGTGCAGACAGTTCTGGGAAAGAACTCATCATGGACACCCAGGCACTTGGTGGCATGAACGAGAATGGAGAATTGTTCACAGATTTTTGTGCATTCAATGACCTTATGATATGAGGTAGTGTCTACCAGCACAAAAACATCCAAAAAGAGACTTGGGTTTCCCCTGATGGAAAAACCAAGAACCAGATAGACTTTTTTACTATCTCTAGGAAGTGGAGACGCAGCCTCCTCGATACAAGATCAAGAAAAGGGGCTGATGTAGCTTCGGTCCACCATCTAGTACTAGGCACCATTAAAGTCAAGTTGAAAGTCTTTAAGGACAACTGTGATAGACCAAACATCAAGTTTGATACTCAGAGACTTCAGGAAAAAGACACCAGGGACTCCTTTACCATCAGGCTGAAAAACAGATTCGAGGTCCTTAACAATGTCTGTCAAGAAACACCCTTAGAAGAACACTGGAACTCCATCAAAGACAGCTGGAATGATACAAATGATACATGTGAGGAGATCCTAAGGAAAAGAGAAAAGCGAGACAAGGAATGGCTTTCTGGGGACACGTGGAAACTGGTAGAAGAAAGAAAACTCAAACAGCAGATTATCAGCTGTGAGGAGGAACAAAAGAAACAAGAATTAAAAGACAGATATACTATACTAAACAATGACGTAAAGAAAAGTGCAAGGAGAGATAAAAAGACACTTCTATAACACACTAGCTACAGAAGCTGAGGAAACAGCAGAGAAAAGAGACTTAAGTACCATGTACAAAGTCACAAGAACCCTGGCTGGAAAGAGACCACCACAGACCAAGCCAGTAAAAGATGAGGCAGGCAACCCTATTACAAATGAAGAAGGCCAGAGAAAGCATTGGGCAGAGCACTTCAGAAAACTCCTAAATCGCCCAACACCTGAAACACACTAGCAGCCTCGTAACTCGCAGTGATCACCCCTCCCCCTCCCACAAAAGCTGAAGACTTAAAGATGCCATAGAAGAACGACTTCGTCCAGAACAGGCAGGCTTTAGAAAGGACAAGTCCTGTACAGACCATATCGCTACTCTCTATATAATAATTGAACAGTCATTAGAGTGGCAGTCAACACTGTGTCTGAACTTCATTGACTTTGAAAAGGCCTTTGATAGTGTTGACAGAAAAGTTATCTGGAAACTACTCCAGCATTATGGAACGCCACCTACCTTCATCAACCTCATACAACAATTTTATGACGAGGCTACATGCCAAGTCATCCACAACGGTAAGCTTACAGAAGCCTTTGAGGTGCGGACAGGGGTAAGACAAGGCTGTTTACTGTCACCGATAATTTTCCTAGTGGTGGTGGACTGGATCATGCGGGAAACTACAAGAGATGGCAAGACGGGAGTCCAGTGGACTTTCACTCAGTGTTTGGAAGACCTCGACTTTGCTGACGACCTATGTCTTATGTCCCGGAAATATGAGCACATGCAGCTCAAGACAGATAGGCTTGCCAAAGAAGCAGCAAAGACAGGTCTACGGATCAGCATTGACAAGGCAGAGGTAATGCAACTCCACAACAAACAGCAAACACCAATCATGCTTAGAGAGCATAACCTGAAAGACATAGACACCTTTACATACTTAGGCAGCATTGTCTCAGCCACTGGTGGAACAGATGAAGACATAAAAGCAAGGATTAATAAAGCGAGACACGCCTTCATCACCCTCAAGCCTGCGTGGTGATCAACAGCACTGTCCACACGCATCAAACTCCGTATATATAACAGTAATGTTAAGTCTGTGCTTCTCTACAGATCCGAAACATGGAGAGTCACCAACACCAACTCCAAAAAACTACAAACCTTCACAAACAGATGTCTGCGCCACATACTAAACATCAGGTGGCCAGAAAAGATAAACAATAAGAATCTGTGGAAAGCAACAAATCAAGACCCAATCACTCAGCAAATAGCCCATAGAAAGTGGCGGTGGATTGGGCATACCCTCAG